GTGAGAGAGAGAGAGAGAGAGAGAGAGAGAGAGAGAGAGAGAGAGAGAGAGAGAGAGAGAGAGGTTTTGGGATATCAAGATTTGTGACAATTGGGTGTTTTATTGCGTTTGTGTTGGCAGCTTGAGCAGTTCGAAGGGACAGAGGTGGAGCTCAGCAAGAAGCAGGGACAGTGGCAGAAGCACAAAGGCATTGTCACAACCTGGGTTTGACTTTTTCAGAAATTTTCTTCTGATCTGTTTCACCTCTCCTGTGGAAGATTGAAATATGCTCCGACTTTATCTGTGGTGATGGAGAAATCTCTGTGACCTTCTTGCCTTTCACTAATGTGATGTCATCGACTTTGTTAGCTTTCCTGAGATTTTTGCACATGCCTGCAGACACAATGAATTGCCTTTACACAGAGGCCATTTGCCTTTTTTTTTTTTTTCTCAGAGTTAGGTAGGTAACTTGTTAGATCTCCTAAGGATAAAAAATCAGCTCAAACTAGTTAAAAGTTAAAACTCAAAACTTAAAACAGCAAGTCAACTTTGGAGACTTCCATTACTCCGCAGGCTGTTGTGAATTGAATTCTCTGCCAACGCAGCCTTGCGTTTCGCATATGTTTTTTTCTTTGTTAAAACTGGCGAATCGTTGAATTCCAATGTTGTTATTTCAACTTATTTGTTTCTTTCTTTGATGGGTGGAATTTCTTCATCAAAGGTATGAAAAGCTGGAGGACTTTGTACCATCCATTCAAGTGTAGTTGAATTTGGCGGGACTTGACTACCCAAGTCACTTGCAGAGCGTGCACTTCGGCGGGACGGGAAAACACAACTCCCCACCCACTGGTGAAAGTGAGATGAACAACCACAATGAAAACTAAAATTTCCTACGATGGAAAGATACGAGCCAAAAGTACTCGGTGCAAGCAAGACATCATGCTGGACACAAAAGAGCAAAACGAAGTAGGCGTCCTGTCTCCTTCCTGTATTCTATATTTGAGTAAATCAACCAAGGGTAGCGTTCCCGAAATGCGCGTGGAAAAGCAGTTGGTCGAACCGAGCAATAGGAGGCTCGCAGGCCGGTTTGGGAGATAAGAGTCGGAACGAAACCCATGTTTTCATTCATAATGTGCCGCTTTGACCTATTAACTTATAATTATTCATTTTTTTAATTCTTTCCCAGCTTAAAAAAAAAAGAAGAAAAAAAAAAAAGAAAAAAAAAAGAGAAACAACCCGAGCTGATGCTAGCGGTGCCGATAGGAGCAGGCATCGCTAGTACTCCCGGGGAGAGGCTCCATCTATTGGTGGGGAGCAGCACCTGCTGGAAAGCGGGTCCAGCATTTTGAAAAGGCTGATTCTCTTAACTTTTAAGCCCAACCAATTCAATTACCTGTCAAATCCGGACAGGACGGCCTTTCAGGTGTGTTTTGGTTGCCATTATAGTATTGCGGGGAACCCCATAGCAGCCACAGCCGTGTTCAAGCCTGGAACTACGGAACATGCGGGAGCTGCACCCACCAGCCGGTACATCCGAGTTCAAGCCTTCAACGAGGGAACATGCCGTAACATCCGTGTTGCATGAGCCTACAGAAAAAAGAATCTATGTCTTTTTTTTTCCAACTTTATTTTCTCCTGTTAGCCATCTGTTTGTTTAGCTTTTTGTTTTGCTATGTTTCTTACCTCTACAGACTCTACACTAGAAATTCCACTTTCCTCTATCTTACTCGAGTGAATCTGTGTCGAAGGCATTCCACCAGTTGAGCTGGCGACTTCCACCGCTTCTCGTCGCGCCTAGTCATTCCGAACCACTCTTGCTCCACCCCCCCCTTTCTTACCGCGGCTGCTGGCAGGGTGTTAGCTGGGGCTTCTTCTTCTGTTTTTGTCACAATCTCACTACCGATGAAAGAGCTTTACAATATAAAAAATCCCCTTTACAGAACATACATGCCCCGTCTATTCTGGGGGGCGCCACCCCGGTTGCTCATCCACTGGCAAGCAAGAAAGTTTAGACATCAGTACAGGACGGAGTCCTGGAAGGAACGGACAAAGGAAAGAGAAGAGGGCCATCCGCGCCAGCAGCCACATGACCTATGATCTATAAGAATGGCCCTTACCAGACAGGCCAAATGAACTCTTCAGGTCAGTCAAAGACAAATTGCAAAACGGAAAAGAAGTTGAAAGAACTCGATTTAACGAGATGCCTGACAGTGTTGTGTGTCATCCTTGTGCAGCGCCTGTGGCAGGTGTATACTTAATAGAGCAGGTGCACCAAGAAGAAGTGACTGTTTGCAACACAAGAGACGCACACACACACACACACACACACACACACACACACA